ACAGAAAAGTATGTGGTATTTCAGTAAAACGAACTTTGACTTTTTCGTATTCGGACCTTCTTTTTCGATTACATATGGTAAACTAAAATCATCATCGATGATGAAACAATCCAGAGTGCAGATTTCACGAATGAAAACTGAAACTAAAAAAAGTATAGCATTTAATCGGAAAATTGAAATTTGTACTACATATTCAACTCCTAACATATATGCAGGATTTGATAGCCAAATTTAGTATATTTTCCGGAAAAAATATCAGCAAGTATAGCGTGCACGTACCACACGGCTCACCCATAATGAATTATGAATATGTGATATAAAGAATACCAGAGCATACAAAAAACACCTACCGCATTTTTCGCAGCCCACATCGACCAATCAACAGACGATTCTAACTTACATCTGAACACATCCGGAAACATCTCACGAAGGCCCCAAAGTCTTTCACCAATCGTTTCTTCCAACTCGTCATCCGGAATCTGGTCCCATTCATCACCACCAATTCTACCAACTGCCATCTTTCCACTTACTTTCCCTTTTTTAACAGGAATTTTCTAATTTGTTTCAAATAAAATTCAGCTCCTCTTAGCTTTTAAAGCAACTGTACTACATGCATCTCGCAAGGAAAAGTTGTACGAATAACCACCAAGAATCGATATAAGAAATGTCAAGCGTCACATCAAAAAGACTTAAGTCGGCATTAAAATACGGAAAAATACAAAAAACTCCCGGAAAGCAGCAGAAATTTTGGACAAAAAATGATACAATTCGAGTATGAAACAATGGTTTCATGAACACTGCTTGGGGAAAAGCATAACCATAAATAAAGCAATTCTGTAGCAATTTAAAAGTACCACAACTAAAATGGTGCTGAAAAGCACAACGCATAGAAATTAAACGATTAATTATTGACGAATTTGCCTTGATCTTTATTTCATTAACAACAGTGAACAAGAGTTGATCAGATTGGAGATCAAAAAATATAGCTTTATAAAAGATTTTGAAAACATAAAATACCCAACATTATAGGAAATCTGAATAATACGAATGCTCACATGAAACAGATGAATACTTGATTATTTCGTGCCAAACATTCTGCGGGGTGGACAAATTTTTAAAATTCCTAAACTCATAATAAACAGCTGTTCTTAATGCAATTGAGAGATAGAGCTACAATAAGCAAAAGTGCTTTATTCTTCTTTTCACTATTCAATCTATCGTCTCCCAGAATAAAGGTTATAAAAGAAACAAATCAAGAATGCTTATGAAGATTAAGTTCTGAAAAACATGGCTAAACTATTATTCCTGATAAAACAGTGATTCACAGAGTAAAATGTAATCTAGAGAAATTTAAATTAAAACAGAAGATCAAACGTAAACATAATCAAAAGGAGAATACATAACATACCTGAAGAACAAACAACAGAAGATTGTATTAATTAACATATAACAATTCAAAGTTGTTTTTGGGACACAAAACTTCATTTCTTTATGTTCCATCTGTTTCCATTGGAGCGTCGCTATCACTTGCTGTCTGACAGTTCAGTGGATGAACAGTCGCACCGGGATCCAATTGTGCATTAGATGATGTATGAGTTGGATCTTCATTGATATTCGAACGTGCTAACTGTGCCGATGTCTTGGCATCGATGAATAATTCAGCACACTGGTGCACGTCTTCCTTCTAAATTTATTTCAGTGCAGATCGCAAGCAAAAATAAAAGTCCTGGGTCGTTAATCTAATTATAAACAAATCTAATTATATTTAACCTAATTAAAAATTTGTTGCTAATTCAAAAAATCTTTTTATAAACCAAAGTGGATATCAGATATAACTGAACTGCATCATGGAAAGGAAAAAAGAGCATTTCATATAAAAAGAATTTAGCCAATTTTTTTAACAATAAAATTCAGATTTAATACAAAAAAAAACAGTAAATCTTCTACTATAAACACAAAATATTAGCATACAGCAGAAAGAAAAACGAACCGTAACAATGTCGCGACTATTTACTTGAGCAAGTAATTTTGCAGGTGTCAGTAGCTGCACAACATATCTCAATGATGTGTCAGCACCCAACTTACTCAGATGTGCTAAGGCATCGTCATCCAGTTTTACACCTTCTGCATCGGCTCGAATCTTTACAATAGCCAATATTTCTTCAATTTTATACGGTTTTGTAACAATTATCAAGATGCGATCTAATAAATCCGACGGGATACCATGCGGTGATATCATTTCTGTGCCACTGAAAAAATTCTCCAACGAAATAAATTCATCATAATATTTACAGTTATTCAGAATGTTTGCCAACCAATGACTCTAAACATCATAAAATTATGATAAGAAAAAATACTGTGCAAATAAACTTGCCGAACTTTGCATTGACCACGATTAGTGGCAAAAATTACAATCGGACTAATAGTGCTCTCAAGTGCTCGATGTAGATATGTGAAACATTCGATATCGAGCATGTGGACCTCATCAATGAATAACACGCCTGGCATTAATTCAGCAATACCCTGAAACACCCAAGCATATCTTTCATCCAAATTAAATAAAAAAAGAACAAATAAATAGATCATATTCAAAACACCTTAAAACTTACTTGTTCGATATAATCGTTCACGACACTGTTAACTTCTTGTCGCAACCTCTCTGTAATTTCAGTTTTCTTCGGTTTCAACAACTGTCCAACAAGTGACGTTACGTTACCAGTAGTACCATGCGGACGAGCGTTTGCAATATCCAGATCGTGCAGTGTGACATCCTGCAATTTTCACTTAAAGTTCCTTGAACATCAAAATGAATAAAAAAGAGCAAAAAGATGATTTGTGGCATACGAGCTGTAAATATTCAAAAACACAATTTACAATAATTGAAATATTAATACTTGGACGACTTCTTTCGATTTCCGAACATCCCCTTTCGGCAGTGGAACAAATTCATCAGCTTCTAAATCAAACTCTGTAGCATACACATCACATCGGCCAAGTCTCTGAATTACTGCATAGTTTTTAACTAGATTTTGTATCAATTTCCAAAACAAAACAAAGTGTAACTACAGTGGGATGTGGTAAAAGTGATGAAAGTGTAAAATAAAGAAAATTAAATCAAATCCAAACTTTCACAGCACCACTATTCGCCTCAATATAGATGACGTCTCCAACTTCTATTTTTTGCTTCAAAAGCGTGTCATAAATTGATGGATCAAGTTTTAGTTGTTTGCTCCCTTTAACGGTTTTCAAACCAATCAGCACGTGCGATATTCGCTGCAAAAATATTTGCCAGTAAAAATTCAAAGAACGAAAGTGTTATTAAGTATTACAGTGAGTTTGCAAACAATCGATTATCAACACAAGAAAGTATGAACTTTTAAATCATAGACAGTGAAGAATATCCCATTAAAACATTAGAATTTAATCTACAAGCCTTGTCCTGTTCTATTCGATTATAACATTCTATGATAAGTCGGAGAACCAACTTTGCCATAGCCACTCGTTGCATTTTCATCCTCTACTGGTGTTAGTTCTGTAACTTCACCTTCATATACTTCTTTCTTCTCCCTAACCCGTAAACCTGTAACAAACTGTTGGAAAATGACTCAAATATGACTCAAGACTTCCAAATTTAAATCCCATTCAAATGTAATCTCGAATATATATATTCTAAAGAATCCAGTCACAATAATCCGAAGTAACAGGTAGCTCAAACCTTCGATGTTACAACCCACTTAACGAAAAAGTACAAAATGATAATTACCAATTGATCTTCGGAAATTCTCCATTAGTACTTCAGTTTTCTTCACCTCTGATGAATAAACTTCAGAACCAACCATTGGACAAAATGGCATCTTATCACCTAATTCTTGTGCCATTGCTAGTGCTATGGCTGTCTATAAATACGATGAAATGATAAACCACGGAATTAAATAAAATCCAAGAAAAAGTTTTTCGATTTCCACTTTAAAATTAGGGGTTAAATAGTTGCCCTTTAGTCAAAACAATAAACAATGAAGAAGACAGAAGTATACCTTTCCAGTTCCCGGTGGTCCAGCAAGAAGAATAGCACGCCCAGCCATGCGCTTCGTACGGATCAAATCCACAATCACCCCAGCTGCTTCTCGTGCTTCTAACTGTCCAATGAAGCCACTTGCCTAAATTGAGTTCTCTGTTCTAAATGCAATATTTCTCTAAGGAAATGATAAACTCTGACTACTTATTGCAGTGTGGAAGTAGAAACTATTGGTATTGCTAATATATGTTAGAACAGAGTCCAGAAAACCCTTTACAGGAAAATACGACAGCATACTGACAGCTTGAATGCCAGCTTATGAACCACCAGAAGTGTATGAAAAGGTGAATCAAGCAACGAGACTTTATATCTGCTACTCAAAAACTTATTTTGAAAACACAGCAAGATTGCCGCGTTTGATTTATGGGTTTGATAACATCTGGCAAGTATAACACGCTGAATAATTACACGATTTTGACTAATTAAATTTACTCCTTTCAGCAACAAAAACATTAATTCAAAATATCTGCTATAATCAAAGGAAACTATCCGGAAGACTTACATTGTCACTAGGCGTATGCGTTTCGGGATCTAGCCCCAAACCTTTTACATGGCTATGGGCAGCAACTCTTTGCTTTCGAGCTGTTGATTTAACCTGCAAATATCAAAAGTTCCTAACAAATATGTACGAATATAAAACTACTGACATCTTTTAAGGCCAGAAAATAAATTCATAAAAACGTAATTTCAATAACTGCGTACTTCATCAATACTGATTAGTTTCGTCGATAATGCAGCACCACTTTCGACGGTCATCTAAAATAGCATAGCAAACTCAACGTTTAAATTAGCATAAGTAATTGTACTCTCAATAAAAAAGCGTTTCATGTATTAGATGGAAATCGACATATATCTACGGATCTCATACAATAATAAATCAAAATTTTCCGGAAATCCCCTACTGATATGAGTATTTTAGATTACATCTTAAACAAATGTGTGTTTATGAAACACTTCGATAAACAAGAATGATACTAGTCCAACCTCACATGACACGCACAAGAGCGTTTAATCCGCGCCTTTGATACCTCGGGAAATCTGTACTGCTCCAAACCAGACGTATGAAAGTCGTGTACCATGTTGATAGGTTTCAATGAAATTAACATCCCGTAACATTAAATTACGGTAAGTAGGTCGACCCTGTCCGAGTCAGGATTTACGGGATAATACGCGGGGCGATACATAGGATTTTGAATAATATACAAGGTCGTAGATTCACTTGCTCCGCTCGTATTTTCAACTGCACTTTCATCTATTAAACCCTAAGGATGACCATTCAACTTTTTTTCCAACTGCACCTTCATCTATTAAACCTTAAGGATGACCATTCCATCTTCCCGTCACAATGTGATACATAAAAAGCTCTAGTCTGTTTGGCTCTAGGCTTTTGAGTATAATCTTTATCAGCGAAATATTGTGAGCAAAGACTAATCCATCTATGAAAGAAAGAGAACTTCATATGTGAGTCTATCTACATCATCACAACCATAACATTTTAAGTTCAGTACAACAATTAAATAATCGACATTAATAAATTAAGGATTGACGAGACTTTAATAAAAATAACCAACAACTTTCTTCCTCATTTTTCGAAATAATAAAATCCGGAAATTTAGCATGACTGAAAGTCGATTTCGTCTTTTCTTGATATGAATGAATGGAATGATCTCAGACTAACCACTCACTACTTGACATAGCAAGGACACGGCACGCAGAACAAAAAATCCACTAAACTGCACCAGTGCAGTTCTTCAAAACATTCGGAAATACTGCTCTTTAACATTTTTTCAAAGCTACACGTTATGTTAATATGAAGGGATGCTATAAAGATGAAATAAACTAAGGTACATTAAACATCAGATCACGAAATAGATTGTTTCTGGAAGTATAACAGCAACATGGAAATTAATATAATAATGAAATGAGTGCTTAGAAAACCAAACATCAATATCTACTTCACAGTCTACAGCGATTAAGAGAGCCGTAAAAAAAAGTTTTCGACAATAATTTGAAGTGATTCGTCTGTGAAATAAGAACTAAGCACAGTTGTCTTCAAAGTAGTGCACATTTCCCATGCCGAACAGAAATTATTTTGTAGTGCTAAAATGTTCTGGACTTTCCAGAAGTGATATTGCTGGTAAAAGGATGTTGTAAGCTGCGACAATCTATACAAAAAATAAGCCTATGGTCAATATCATAAGCAAACATTAACAACGAGAGATTTCCCGTAAGATATATCCTTTTCCATTAATATTCATTAATGGTGGGCTCGATTTATACTTAACAGCAGTAATTCCATTGCAGTTATCATTTGCGGGATCAATTTTGACTGCTGTTTCTTCAAAATCACTGCATTCTGCAATTTCTTGCCTTTTTTCTAGCTTTCTACATAACCAGTGTATCGCTGCAATGAACAGAAGTGGGACTGGCGTCATACTTGCACAAATAACAGGAATTAGAGCGCTAATATCGGCATCCGGATCAGGAAACGAGAACTGAAATTATTGAACAGAAGATTGAAATGAAAAAGAAGGAAATAGAGCAAATTTATAAAACCAAGTAATTATATACAAATTTTTCCCCATTAAATGCATTACGAATCCGAACCCCGGAACTTCCTGGACAAAGAAAAATGTGGTCCTTTTTTTCTGTTGCAAACGAAATAAACTATTTCGAAAATTGCTTTTAGTCACCAATCACATTTCTATTAACAGAGTTCAAAAACCTACCTTCAGTAACATAATAGCTATCCCCGTATTCTGAATACCAGTTTCGATTGCTATCGCAGTGACATTGGGTGGCGACTGCCGAAGAATAACTGCTGTGAGGCAACCAATCGCAAAGCCACACCAAGGTAGCAATAAACTTCTGAAATTTTAAATTGCACAACAAGAATGTGAAATAATGAGAAATACGAACGTCATAAATAATAAAAAGTAAAATGATACCCAATAACAGTTGTCCATGTCAGCAAATGAATCATATATATATTCGCTACCGTCCCGAAACTAATTAAAAAAACCAGGACGAATATAATAAATGGACGCATTACCTAAAAATGGATGCATTACCTGTTTTGAAAAATAATCTTGTCTCAAAAGAGAACAAAATCCGATCTCTCTAGTTTTAAAAAACAAACCTTTCGAGCCTGAAATCGTAGTGCTGGTTTGAAATATGAAATCGTAATACCGAAAATCAGTGGTACTATCATTATAACCAAAGAAGAGATAATTTTGACGTAAGGAATTTTGATCACTGCTTCAGGATGGAAACTGTCAAGAAAGTGGAAACCCAAAAGCCACATCCACAATGGTATCATCACTGTAATACTGTGATAAACTAGCTTCACAAACAAAATCTTACTGTGCCATAGCCGGTATTCAAAAAAGATTTGTGTTTCCGAAAAATATGTACAATACGTGTTGTTTGAAATAGTGACGTAACATGGAAAATGAGTCCACGGAAGAAGTGCGAATTAATTTTGAAAAGGAGGATGAAACAACTATTCCAACTAATAAAAAAAACAGTTCCACGAAAAACACCACTGAAAATAAATGATAAATTTACCTAAAGATGCTAAGGTACTACAAAATGTCATTGTTAGTGATACCGGCAAATTGCCATCCAACAAAACAGTCCAGTAATTGCTGGCACCACCACCAGGTACGCAACCAGTAACAAATAAACCAAGTGCGAAAGAATGCAAACCATTGGCGGTGAACATAACATTTGCAATACCCCAAGCAAGCTAAATAGAAATTGAATTTTTTTCAGTCTTGTTCATAATGATTTATGGTAGCGAGATTATCCTGAAAGTTCCAAACAATTCCGGAGAATAGTGTAATATGTTTTGGTATCGAAAACCATACAAATCAGTCGCCTCAAAAACCTAAACGGCCTTTTGCTCAAGACGGGAGTAACATCACCATTTTAATATTTCGCGAGGAAAAACAGTTCACCAAAGATTAATCATTTAGTGTTTTTTCTAGATTACAGAAATTACATTTGTGCATTACAACTTCTGGCATAAAGCATACTTTTATAATCATCAGCTATCGATGAATAACATTAGTTTGATTCGTAATTAGTTTAATTAGAAAACAACTTGCCAAAGGCATTGCAATAAACTGTGTACAAAAACCAATCATCGGTGCTACCGGTTCTTTAATCACCTCCAACATAACACGCCCATCAAGCTAGAATAATGATTTATAAATGATTCATAATGATAATTTCTCAGAAAAAATAATTGGTTTGCATTGGACTGATAACCGAATCCTTTCCATTTTCTGTTATGAGAGAAACAAAAACCTTGATTCCCAATCCAAAATTTAGTTAATCCAACTTCTGTTCTGGACCAAGAGCTTCCCAGTCATATTTAGAAAAAAGCTTCTACACTTGAAATTTCGAAAAATACTGCAAAGCAAACCTCGCATCCCATCAACACATTAGCAATGATGATCAGAATAACCAATGCTGATAAAAACAACCGATTTTCAAGCCGTTTATTGTCCTGAATAACCCAAATATCCAACGTATTACTTTGATCAAAAATATTTCTGTTCTGCAATAAAAAATTTCTTATTACATTGAAATGCTCTAAACTGTGACAAAGTGTCTTGATGCAATCCCTATTATACTTACTTTGTCTATTTCATATAAAAATCGATCATCATCCGTAGTTTCATCCGTACTTAATAAACGTACTTTTACGGCTGTTTTACCGAGAAAATGTCCAGTAAGTGTAATATTTACCTGCAAAGTTGCAATAGACTGTTCATCTCAAAAATATCAATGAATTAGTAGAGAAGATCTTGAAAGAAATGTAACAAAATAATTTTATAAGAACTTCGTATGTTTGGCAGTCATTTCGCTTCGATGAATATTCGCCCCATTTGAATTGTTTTCGCTCTTTCGCTGCTGTAGCAATATCTTCATCAGCCGATCTGTAAGTCCAGAAAGTATCACTGATAGATAACGAACAACGGATAAGTTTGCATAAAAAGCCTATTCTTTATTAGATGTACAACTTCCCTCACTTTTCATGTGGAATACGAAGCTATTATTAAGGAACAAAATTTAGTCAGAAAAATGAAGTATTAAAATATAAAGCTGTTCAATGGAAAAACTCCTAACTTCAGAATAACTGCAAATGGTTTTTCGGGTGGTAATTTTGCAAATTCCTGACGATTCGTATCCACATCAATAGCTACTTTGACGGTTTTATTGGTACCAACCATGAGATCATGAATATAGGGAGGATCGAATCGAACTCGAGCAATTGACTGTATTCCGGAACTAGTCACTGATACCATCATATTCAGGATCAATCGCATCAATAAAAAGAATGGGCATCTTCGGGAACCCATTTACTCCTAGCAGTAGATGAATTATTTCAAAAAGAAAAAAATCATTTAATTAACTCAAATGAACGAAAGAAATTCCCAGCCCAATTTATGCTCAATTTTTTTAATGGAATGCACTAATGCAAATTATAATTAGGCTGTATTCTCAGTAATAAAACCGGAAAATGAAGGGAGGCAGAACGAAAATAACAAACCGCTCATGCACTATCTTTAGCAATCGAAAAACTCATGCAATAAGCTCGCATTCTATTAACATAAGAGCAATCATTCCCATTAGTATGCTAGAATTATAAAAACAATTTACTAGTTTGAAATTAAAATTACCAATCCTACTAAACATATTAATTCATCAAAACTATTAATATTAATGTAGGGTAAAAATCAACGTTTTCAGCATAATTAAAATTAACTGGTCTCCAGAAATTTGTTTACATCTTTCGGATTGAAATTTGTTTTCTGATCATGATCATGTAATCTGCACGCAAGATAGTTCGGTCGATAGAATTTTCAAACTTATACCTTAAGAGGCATTTCTGGTTTACATTTTGAATATTGAAAGTGAATTTTAGACCAAAAAAAAAGAAAAAGTGAATTTTAGATCAAAGAAAATTAGATACATTGCCACAGTGGTGACATTAGTAAGATTGCTTTAGTAATTTTTTTAGTACTACGCCCAGAATTTGGTAGTTGATGATAAGATTAATGATTGAATTATTCTGATATTTTACAATAAGCATTCATACTAGAAAATGCTGATGCTGAAGTGGTGTGAATCATCTATGAAAAGAATTTAAAACGAGAAAAAGAAAATTGAAGTTCAAATTTTTTTATTTTTTAATGGAATGAAACTGCGGAATAGCACACAACCAGATAATACTGCACTATTAGATTCTTCTGCTTGCGATGGGTAATGATGAGATGAATCGTTATGAGAAATTTTTCGAACAGCGAAGCAATTTAAGGCACAAATTTGTTCAATAAAACCCACACAACAAAATTAATTCCTTGCAATTATTTTCACAAATTCCATTTCATAATTTCATGGTAATTCATTGCCACTACTTGAATAATATCTATCTCCTCTGCCCCTTTTTCTCTTTTATATATTACGTTTTATTCCTTGCTTTATTATCTAGATGATAAAAACAGTACTGATAACATAAGTGACCGATAATAAAATACGCTTCGATAAAAAAAAAAGTGTTAAATGGCTAAATGAATAAATAACAACGACAAATGCGACGCTTCGGAAAATTGATCAAATTTCATTATGGTAGAATAAAACTGATGAGATTGATGCTTTGAAGAATAAGGAAAAATAACAAATACAAATCTAATGAAGTGAAAAACCATTCGAAAAGATTAATGAAAGTTTCAAAGCAGAAAGAAATAAGTCTAAGAATATTTAATCCTTTTATTGAAAAAAGCGATTCTAATTGTTGCTATGGTTATCTGAACCGTTGAATATCATAATATCATTATACTCAGTTATTCCGATTACGCCAGCAAAACATTGTTACTAAAAATATGAAGATTTAAAATTGAAAAAAAAGAAAACAAAAAAATTCTATGAAAAACTCTATAAAGTCGAAAACTTCCAATTTAAATAATTCTAGTAAAATGCAAATTTAATTTTTCTGTACTCCCTCCTCCTTACCAAAATATTTTGGTGCTGAAGAATTACGAAACTGAAAGTGTTAGGTGAAATGTGGAAGTTTACGATTTGTGAAGAGTTAACCAGGATGCATCTTTGCTAGAAAAGCTAGTGCAAAATAACAATAGCAATAACAATGTAATGAAGTGCTTTTTTATGATTGATATATTTCAGCTCTTACTACTCAAAATATCATCGGAACGAGTCAGAAGTACTAGGAACATGAATATCACATTTTTGAAAGTCTTTAACGAAATTCTAAGAAGACTCGTTCTATTAGATAAGAGTAGAATAATTTTTATTATGTAATCAGTGCAGTGCTGTATAATTCCATGGGGAGAATTTTTCTCCTGATTTCAGAATGATTTCAGAACTGTCACATGATATGGAACATAAATGAAAAGTATGACTGAAAATGTTCGAATCATATCAAATGTCACTATTTTTTTTTTTTTGGGACATAATAGATTGTCAAAAGACATCAAAAGGATAGATTTTCCTTCGAAATATATAAGCGGTATTTTAGCTGTTTGAATTTTCAACATTTCAAGCTTTGTGAAATGAATAGAATCGATAGATGATGTATCGAATGAATTGTAAATGTCGCAAACTGAAGAAAAAAATGATGGACGATTACTGACGAGAAAGAAATGACAAATAAAAATATGTCATGGCTGTGACAAGAAGTTATCCAAATACTTTAATGGATGCTGAATAAATAATTGATATTACTCTGCTACTGATACAAAAAAAAGAAAAAAAACTTTTCCAACTAAATTGTCATGCAAGAGAATTAGACTGCCACGCATTGACCAAAAAGCAAATTCTTTAGATTATCATCTCATATTAATTAGCAATTAGGATAAGTAGAAAGGATGAAACTGAATAGTTGCATATTGCTTGCCGTGTGGAATTAATCGGGAATGTCGAGATCTAGTAACACGAACTTTCTCGCGAAAAATCAAAATGCAGCAATATCCGATTAGCCATTGTGTGTCGGATTACATTTCAGAGCAATATCATATAAGGGGAAAAGTTGAGAAGCGCGGGATGCACTGGCCGTATAAGCTCAACTGAAAGCAGCCATTTAACTTATCTTCTTCACTAAGTCTATTTCATTGTTTGCTCCATAGTATGATAATAAATACTGACGCAAAAACTTTTATTGCTGACGGATATTCGGATGGATTTAAAAAGCAAACTTTCCGGCATTTGCGTAATCAAGTTGAAGTACTACATTGCACCAACAAACTTCTCTATTTTTACAACTCAATCGATCATAGAAATCGAGCTCAAATCATATACATATGTATATATATATATATACAAGTGCAAGTATGATAAGGACTTTCGCGCTTCACGATAATAAATAAAAACTTTGCATTCATGAAAGCATTAGAGAAATAGTGACATTCCCCAGAGTTCAAAAAAAAATTTATTGGTTCCATGTCATGTTACAAAGGAAAATAAATGAGAAAGTGAAAACGTAACAATGTCTTCAGAGTAACACATTTCTAACAGACTTGTAATAAAGCTTCAGTAAATTTAGATCATTCTAGTAAGTGAAATCACTTGAACATGGAATAAAAGAAGAAACAAAAATCAAACGTTAATTCCTAATTTGTCCAATTATTCCTGACATTTTATTGTGCCCATCTTTCCATTACTCTTCCACCCAAATTTGTTTTTTCTAAGTGTGCGACTGCAGTTCTCATCATATTAAGTGAGATTTGTAAAGAATAAAAACAATAACCAACTGTTCCAATCACATTAGAAATACATGGACGATAAAAAAGCTTACTAATGTTTAAAATTCTGAGTCATCAATAAAAACATCAAAAGATCAGAAATCAAGTGAATACAGTAAAAGAGAATTGCAAATGATTGACCGTAAAAACAACAAAATACAGCACAAGACTTTACTAGAGTTTCATAAAATGTTAGAAAGTCGGGTTCCACATATGACCTCTTTCTTGTTTATAATATTCTTGGTAACATAAAAAATGTTTCATGCAGGACCAAATATGGACCAATTAAAGCATTAGAAATTAGCAACGGGAAATGTTATCAGTTTAATTTCGTGGTTTAAAAGAGTGATTTATCAAATTAGCATAGCATATTACGAAAAGTAAGGCATGGAAATGTACTTTTTCCTTCACATGATATTAATCACTGCAAAAGTTAATATTACTGATTATTAGGATATAGAATGTTAGCTAAATTTTACTAAAAATGAAATCCTTGGCTAATGAGTAAATGAAAGGAATGCGGTGGTTAAATAAAATGATAATAACAATTATATGTCATTAAAAATAATGTTTGAACTATTAATGAAAAATTCCCCGCTTTCGATTGAGAAATTCCCAGTAATTCAAACATCCAATGCGCGCGGAGATTCAAAATAGAAGCAAATATAGATTGCATGAGCAACACCAGGTAACCAAGCCAGGATCGTGAATATAATGTTCAGCAGGAAATGTACGTCACAGCCCCGAACGATTAAAACAGCGAGAGGCTGCAACAAACACTGCACTTTATTCCTTTATAAAAAGTTATTCCTTATCAATCAAAAACACTGAACTTGTTAGTAACAAGAGAACAATTTTAAGTCAAAAAGATAATTAGAAACTGATGCCTGCATGGTTTGTTGAGTCAAAAAGTTGTATTTCAATTTTCGCCTCATTTTAAAAATAAATCCACTTACTGGGCATATAAAACAAAGAATAATCAAGATCAATGAGAGGCACATTTCAAGCTAGGATAAGCACACCAATTTGTTGCCAATTTTCCGTCAAACGTAAGCTGAAATATACCAGTGCATTTGTGAAGTAAATGATCGGCACTTTTTCAGAATTTCCACGCACTCGCAACTAAATCGATCACGACAAATCAGTATAAGTCATCATTTAACGACAATTTTAACGACTGCGATAACGGCAACTGCGTGTCACTAAAGAAGCTTGATAAGTAGATGATGACATACAAAAAGAGTTGCAAAAGAGAACGGACGAGAACCCTAGATAATTACAGAAAAGTGAAGCTTTTATATATCTCTGTAAATGTATGTAATTTAACAAATTATATGCATGTACGACCCTATGTAATGTCACCATAAGCCTTACTATGACAAAAAGATACAATCATAAAGATTTTATTTTCGACTGTAAAAAAAATAAGCCATGTTAACAATCACTCAGAATATTTATTCTCAGCTAAAAACATTATTGACAACTTTCTAAACGATATTTGAGAAAGGACCAGAAAATTGACGAACCAACTCATATGAAAGAATCAAAGCCTTGCCATAGAAAAACCTTTTTATCAACTCTGCAAACGAACTAGGTTAAACCATTGTATACTCCTTATCAAATTATGGTGCATCATCATATGATACATTCTAATTACATTACTCTGCGAAAAATACGGTCTCAAGATGTACTTCTACCATTAACAAGCACTCTTACTCGTCATTTTTGTTTTTATAAAGAAGATATCGAAAAACTGTAATATATATATGACAGTTTAGCTTGAATTGCTGCATCACATGAAAAACATACAATCTTTAACCCACAAATATATTTTGCAAATACAGTTCATTACGCGTTCAAATATTTCTTCCCATAAAACATTGACTTTTGTTCGAAATTGGATGATGTAATTGGAGAATTGATCTCGTAGAATGGATTCATTGAAAGTTTGATATACATTTCGTAGATTTCCTGCAATGAGCTAACTGTTCATTCAGGATAACGAGTAAATCTATTCCATATCGGCAATAAGATGTATATTAAGTTCTTTAATACGCTTTGTATGCCAACTGCAACAGAAAGAATAAACTGCACCAATGCGAAATTGATAGATAAAACTTGGATAATTTAAAAGACTAGAATTCGAATACAGGAAACAGTTTGGATGAGACTTCACGGGAACCAAAAGCACAGAAAAGACATAGAAAAAGACTGATGTCAAAACTGACAATTTCTTGAAATGCACTATTCCGTATGTACACGAAATCAATTTCGCACCAATTGAAAAGTTAAAATACTAAAATGAATGCTGAAACGATCACTGTAAAATAGTGGTTCCCAATTTTTCTTAACCAGAGATCACTTCGGCTTTTTCATTTGTCCCACGGACCAACAAGTTCAAAAATGATAAATCCTGTTAATTTGAAAATACACTTTAATCAAAACTTTTGCCGTGTCACAAACAACAGAAAGTTGGAATGCACTGGGTGAAATAGATAAATTAAGCTTGGATAGTTTAAAGAAGACTAAGAACTTGAACTTAGAGTAGCATATTATGCAAAAAAAGGGACATTTTTAACAAAAATTTTCATCAATGTGGTACTTGAGCGTGCATCATCTTTACAAGTTCGGTGATTCTGAAGCTTCTGGGTCGCGCCACATATATAATCAAGCAATGTATGAAATGGTTTACGCCAAAACTCTTCAAGAAAAACTAATTCAAAGACATCCTGCTCAGATTATTTCATTTAATGAGCTCTTCTTTAATTTCTTCTGCAACCTGTTCAACAGCAAAACCAAAAGGACTGCGAATCAGCTTCTAAGCACCTTCTGATTCGGTCCAGTTATATTCCAGAAGTAACCACAGAATTGATCGATCAACATTTGCAGATGACTCCTGATGTTCTTGTGCAGATTCGCGTTAATCATGTCATATTTTTTATCATCGACCACTGCTTCCAGTGTTGCAAATGTAGAATAACTGTTTACGACAACCTTATTTTTCCATAATTGAAGTTTGCAGATGAACGCGCGAAAAGATAAAAGTGTTCCCCACGTTTTCTAGATTTCTATTCCAAAACCTTGCAACTGCAAGTTTAGCTTATTTAAATGTGCGAAAATATCCACAAAATAAGTCAACCGCACCTGATCTTTCAGATAAGGAAACTGCTGCAGTAAATCTCCAATTCTTTTCTCGGCTAGAAAAAGCTCAACTTCTTAACTCGTACAACCTTTCCATATCGCCTTTCGACCATCAACGAAATTTGGTATGGAAAAGAAGAGTCTTGTGATAGAAATCCATTTCAACGCAGTTTTTTTTTAAAAAAAGAAAGGTTTCGTCCATCTTATATGTATTTAAGCCATTGTTTTTGACAACTGACCACTTTTATGGCCAACCAACTAACTTATTCCCATTATATTAACAAGGCATTTAGAGAGAGTCTTGAAAACTAACGCCTAACGATATATGATAGGAGGAGTTGAATTTTTCGTCGCAGAATTTTCCGTTTTATCAATGTTACCAAGCCGAGCGTGATCCTAACACAGTTGGGACGCCATCCATACAGAAATCGGCGAGCTTCTCCCACATAATGTTACGTTTCTTAAACTATTCCGCTATCATATTCATAACGTCGATACCTTCTGACGTTGTTTCCAGCCACGCAAAATCAATAATTCCTCTTTAATGATGTTGTCGGCGTCTGAAAAGTGGACAAAACGAGCAACTGACTGCAATTAGGAACCTCTATCGACTCATCATATAAAGCGAAACATGGATTCTTAATTTTCGAAACAAGTTTGCTCTCAATTTCATTTGATATTAGCTCAATTCGAGCTTTTGATCGTATTGTTCGACAGAGTATTTCTTGCATTCTTTGCTTAGCTTTCCCTCTGAAACTTCGACAGCCTTCATCATACAAGTTCCACTAATGTTTCTGTTATTGTGTGTGGTTTTCTTGATTTCGCTTTTAATACTGATATCTCAAACGACGAGACTAATGTTTTTTCCGACAACGCAAATCTTAATACCACTAAGCTCGAGTTCCTTTTTTTTTGAGGAAAAAAAACCGCGTCTTGAGGAGTTTCTTCTTCAGGCTGTCAGATTATCGAACTTAAAATCCCGTCAAAAATAAAATTATTATAGTACCATAGGACAGGTAATAAAGAGTGAAAGGTAAAGAGAAATAGAAGAATCGATCAGACAGGAGATAAAATTCCATGAATAAAAACATCAAAGCGAAAAGGAAGATATAAGCTAACAATGGGCTGACATCACAAAGGGACTTCGCTAGCAACCAATAGTATTACAAGCCAAATAAACCTCTACCGCCCACAAACGAATCAGCGCGCAGCTTGAGGAAAAAAAAAACATCCCTCGCCTGTCTCCCACGTTTTTTTTTCTATGTTTCATCGCGTCGATTCGCGATATAAATTTTAATGTCATGTATCACCAATGACCTCAGATCACCGGTTGGAACCACTACTCTACAAGCACCACCTTAAACATCGTTGGAGTAGATGGAAAACAAACTTGGAAGAATTGCTTTATTCCATCTTCATTCTTCTGGGAATGCAACATAACAAATCTTATACGACTCGCAGTGACAAAAGCAGAAACATACCATTCATTAAACTTATCCACAACCTGCAATCAAAACAAAACCGTATTATTAATTACTGGTTTATGTGGTTTGGAATTTCTTCAAGTCAATGCTGTTTGAAATACATTGATGTCTATTACCCAGATAGGATATTCAACGAATTTTCATTACGATCTGTCAAAACTTAAATGAAATTGGAAACAACAGGATTCCAGAAAAGCGGAATCACCAAAAAAAAGTTCCTATCACAAAAAAGGTTTCCGATTACAATTAAGCTACATCTTAAAATTCTACCTTTTAACTAAATAGGGATGAAGTATGGATTAATCAAGTGGCTACATATCTCTGAATTACATAGAGCACTTTTTAATCGCATCTTGAACTATGTCAATATATCCCGAAGAACATTCACTGCTAACAGCATATATTCATCAAGCCTCAAATTCAAATCTTAATTTTCTCCTTTTTTAAAATTCTATTATTCTAGTTTCTGTAGGAAATATCTTCAGCTATTGAATGCACGTACTCTCAGACAGGCAAGTACCTCCAGATATATAGCAATAAGTATTGTATACCTTTAGATACATCTGAGGATTAGTGAGCATTTGTTCATCGATAATATCCAAAGCAGCGTGTGCGATAAATTGATTCAGGTGACGTGTATCCGAATCGGGTCGCTTCTTAGCATCAACCACTGGAAATTCCATTTCGAATATCAGCTGATCATTATGTCCGACAATAACGAAGTAATATTCTCGGTTCGTAGTCATTTCATCCTGTGATTCAGTACAGACATTCAGGATTTATGTGAGCGAGAAACCATATGAAGGACATACACACCCACGCTCACACTCACACTCACATCCACACACAACACACACACCCACAGACACGCGCACACACCGACACACACACACACACACACACATACATACACGACACTTCCCTCCACTTCGACAGGTACCATTTCAGTTACGATACACTGTGAAAAGATAGGCAATATTTAATGAGGCCCTTATCAGTTATTTGATAGGTATATCTATTTGGGTTTCTTGCGACCTTCTCCCTTATCATCTCTTGATCTATATTTCAAATACGATTCTATGCTCTATAAATCGAGCAATCGATGCTCCAAAAATTCATATGCGAGTTTGGAAGCAAACATAATCGGAAAGTAATAAAAGTGTAATAAAATGCTTTGTTTCATTATTGGCTAATCTGCAGGTTTGGATTAGTTAATTGTTTATGAAGGATTCATTTCCATTTCCGCACGTTTACAAGCCTAAAATTTCCCTTATTGTCAACTGTTCACATTGCTACTTGCAACCCAACAAACAGGCCGCTCACGTACCTCTCATAGTTACATAAACACACATCTGCATAAACAATAATAGGTTGTAGTAATTGAATTCTGGACGCCATTACAAAGTAGAACATTTGCCCACGTTCTACATTATAGATATAGGTTTCCCACTACATTCGACCACTGTAGTGTCCCAAGAAAGACGGACATTACAGTGATCAAGTGTAGCGAGGAATCAATAGTTCAGATTCTCATGATTTGCTCGATTACTTTTTTTTTTTGTTCGTAGCTCTCTTCCGATGTTTGAACTTCTTTTTCCGCATATTCTACCATCCCTCGTGAATTTTTTCAATCTCTGCTCCCTCTTCGTAAACCACGTTTCTTTTACCTTCAAATACCAGAGCATTTTGTTTGTTCTCTCTCAAATTACAGTAGATCTCTCCGTAATTGATTTCTGTAAGAATTTATTAAGTTACTTTTCTCTTTCCACTTTTGCCTTACACATATTTTCCAATTTTGCCTGTAGGGGATGCTTTAGTTTTCACTCGTTGACTTTAGCAAATTGTTTATCCAATATTTGTGAGCTATGGTTTACTTGGACTATAGGCTGAAGGTCATATGTATCAGTTAGCGTGTGGGGGTCAGTTAACCTGCGGGGAAAGGTTCATGTTGGACTTACCATACTAAGTGTATATCATCTTGTTCATTACGATTGTATTACAATGTAGTTTGGGAAGTTTTGATTACAGTGATTATTGCAGTATCGAACGAAATGCATGTACCGCAACATATTACAATTGCGGGAGGCGCTGGTCAGGAATATACAAGACAACGTCTTATCAATGCGGCTGATAAGTATGCTTATCAGATGAATGTACCAGAAAGGATTCTTGTTGCCGGAGGTGATGAAACACGTGCTGACCGTGCTCCACCGTCCGAAGTAATGCTTGACCGTATGGCTGTTCACTATCCAACTGCTGTAAGTCCCGATCTTTATACTGAATTTTTCCTTGGATTAAAAGTAAGTACTGTCGTTGACTATTGCATTATGTGAGATCAATGTTATTACTTTTCAGTTATATGTTAAATATTTAAAACAGGTGCAAACATGTCGTATAATGAGTGTTGTGAGAAGGTTCTCGATTCATGAAATCTGGTCGTTGTTTATGCAGTGATTTTAAACCTCGTATTGTTAGTAGCATCAGCATGCATGGTTATACTTGACTTTTCAGAGGGGAGTATTCTGTTATATTGGGTAGCCATCCAATCATTGTTATGTCTCGACTTCTGTCGTCGAAAAATTTGAATAGTTTTGTGACAGTGAGTAGAATTCATTTCTTAGGATGAAACATTAAACGTGTCATTGTAGGAGCTGGCCAGTCCACCGGGCGTATTGACACTCGATAAAGCGTCATACCCAGAAATTGCTGGCGATAGGCCTTCTCCTAAAGATTCGCCTCCTTTACAAGTGCGTCCTTGTTTGCTTTTCAAATCCGTATGTTTATACACATTACACTTTTGCGTAAAATTTGTTATATTTTATGTAACGTCATATCATTAAGAATAGATTATTTTTCTTATTGTTTTTCCCTAAAATTACTTCAGCCATATGTAAATTAAATTCAAGAGAAGGATCTACTGGCTTGTGATATCTAATTTCTATTTAAAGTCATCATGTAATGTTGTAACTTCTTAAGGAACTTTCGTCATCATTGGCGGTAGAAGAAAATCCTGTGCGTGAATTGAAATTAATGAGACGACAGCTAGGACGTTTGTCGACACGTTTGTATCAGTTAGAAGACGATTTCGAACGCAGAAGAACTAAGGAATCCTTCTTATGGACATATGTATTCAGTATTACTGGTCTATTTTTGTATTTATTTTTTAAGAAAAAATTTAGAATTCGCTTTTCGTGTTACTCTGTGAGTTGCATTCACGATAAGAAATGCGTCGTACATTGTATTCCAATGAATTCTTCCATATTTTGTAAATGTTCTATAATTTAATTAGTAATTACAAATTGTTGTCTTTTTAAATTTACTCCAGGAATTTAGAAGCTAAAATAAGGGTTTTGTGGTCGTGATGCAGTATTTCTGTCCAGTTTAGAATTGAGATTATAAAGTTTAAAGGAAAGATTTTATAAAGTTTTTAAGCCCTCTTCCTGGCCCTATCAAAATTCTTATTTTTTACTATCAATTTTTCGATAACACTATTATCGTAGTGTTGGCATGGCTTTATTGTTATTTTTCACTTTTGTTCATTTTTTCCTCACACATTTTTTTGATTTGGTAACATTTGCAGTTTGTGCTAAGGTATCAAAAGCGCACTTGCGTTTGCAAACCGTGTTTGTAGATCTCCGGTTTTCAGTTTCCAAGCTTCTCTCTACCTTTAATTATGTATATGAAGTAGATGTTTATCAAATGATTTATATGTAGGAGGTGATGTTCAGGTTAAAACTGCCGAACTTTATCGTTTCAAATTATTTAACACATTTTTTTAAATCAATTATCTGACACATTTTTGAGGCAGGATGGTGAATTTTGCAATAATGGTAATCTTGTTCATGTATGGAAATGGAGCGGTAACGTGTGGTAGGAAATATAGGAACGAGTTGAGTGGTTGTTTTTCTGACCTCTGTTTTCAGGCCTTTCACGTGACACTAGTCACGATTTTCTGTTTTCATACTTATTTCATTTAGATTCATGGTATCTCCATTTAAAGTCCTGATACATGGTACAGTTTTCCTGATTTCAAAAAATTGTCGCATGTATTCTTGATGGATATAATGTGCAAGTTCGAAATTTGTGGGAATCTCCAAACAGACTAAGTATTCTTGGTTTTCGTTTATCAATCAAATCCCTTAGAAATCACAAATTTGATATTTTACGAAATGTTAACGTTATGATTAATCCTTATGATTTTCGTAAGTTTCTGATTGTTTCTGTCTGGTCACTTACCACAAACTATTGCAATGGCTAACTGTAAAGTATAGTAGCATCACTCAGGTGGATCCAATTTAAGGACTGTTCTTTTTATCTACGGTTATTAAGGCTGCGATATACATATCTTGAAGTTGCCACAATCGGCATGGGCAAGTATACAGTGGATACTCCCACGCAAGTCGTAGAAACTAGGAACTCGTATATAATTCCCGGTTAGTAACCACAAACTCCGTTTATACTCGAGAAATATATACTCAAGACTCGAGTTTATACTCGAGAAGAGCTGTCAACCTTGTTTCGAAGGTGGTTGATGCCTGATGTGTTGTAGAAGTTAGAGGCGGATTGAATAGTGGGCGAAGAAAGTTAGAAGACCATAGAATGTTTACTGCAGTGGTAAGATGGGATCAGAGGCACTGTACTTACAAGGACGAATATATTCTCTGTCAACATAAACTAGTGCTGACTTGAGAGGGAAGATGTGACACAGATAACATCACAGATAAGCTGATAACAGTTGAAGAGTGGGAGTATTTTGCTGGAGTTCTGTGACAGGGAGCTGTCACTCGAATATAGATTTATTCCCCGTGTTGGATGAATTAACTGTGCTGGTGTTGAATTGTGGAGGACAGAGACCGGAAAAATCACGTATGAGGAAGCTTTCACGTAATCGCTATCTATATTTAGATGAGGCACAGATTGGGACTAAGACTATTCTATTTTGCAAGCTTTAATTATTAACAAAAACTAGTGACAGTTCGGAGTATGATTCTCGATAAGAACACTGATTCGGGGTCAGTGGGACATTTCTTCTTGAGCCAAAACTTGGATGAACGTGATGAATTTATCGAAGCAATATAACTTATTTTTGTAAGCAGAAAGCCATCAGAAGAAGTCTACTGCACAAAAAGTTGATTAAGATTGACAATTCTCGATTATTACGGTTGAAGCGACTCGATATTGTGTTGAGAAAAGAATTAACCTTTACAATTCAATTAACAACAAATTTTATCAGCAATAACTGAAAGCATTTGAACAGTCTCTCAGAGTATTGTCCGTGGCGGATCACTGAAATAAATGTGACATTGAAAAATAGCTTTGATTTAGGGAAGAGATGCTTGGCATTGCTTGAACAAGATGAATTTAAAGCTTTCTGATGAGAAAGGTTTTTTCTGATGAGAAAGGTTTACGAAGGTTACAATATCTTTGATGGATACGCTGTAATAATATGATTAAACTAGAAAGGAGAAAAGGAAATAAACATCAGTGCTGATAATGGTCAGCGGATTATCTCAGATATAGTATGTGAACGGGAAGGGGAAGAAGAGCTTCGAGATTTCTTTGGTGTATTTACCAACAATGATGATGTTACCAACATTAGGGAACGATGCTCCGAGAGATAGTAAATCATAGAATCCATCCCTCACGAAAAGTTCTGGGTGCTAACTGTGGCCAATAAAAAGTGCAAAGTGGGTATTATTAATGAGGGATTCCTTAAAATTTTCGGAAATTCTACTTAGAGATAAGCGTCGAGAAGTCATTCTGATTGAAAACAGTGCCGACATCAGTTATCATGCGGAAAGGGAGAGGTTGATGATATTCAAGGTTACATTCAGTGCGGCACGGAAATTCCTACATACACGCTACACTTCGTTATCTTCCGATTTCTCAAGTTTATTGTTATTAGAGAAACTAAGTGGAAAATCGCAAAGTTGCTTCGGACCGATGCAACAGCCAAAACTTATTGTTGCATATAGAAAACTAGAAAAACTGGCAGGGGTGTGGTGGTACCATAAGGTCGGAGGTGAATATCATGATGTTGAAAAGAAGTGGTTCTACTGTTGAATGGGATACAGGTGCCTGTGTTACTTAAATCTGATATTAGCCTGATGACAAGTACTTTTCGTCAGAGACATTTTGCGATCGAGAAATCTGTGGCTTCTAATGTGGGCATCGATCTGAAACATCTGGTGTGGTATGTGAGGAGAGCAATTTATGAGGCAAATTTCGGGAAAACTGCTAACGAAATTATACATGAAAGACTTGCCATTATGGATTACAAATGTAGATAAAATGTGTTTCATGTAGATGTGATTAGTGATTTACAGGAGGACTGGAAATATGAGCAGATTGAAAAAGCATGAAAGGAGTCGACAGCTGTCCTCAAGGAGTAGCGATAGTGGCAGTTATGGGAGGCGAACGCGAAGCAGAAGTCGGGATCGACGTAGTAGCAGGAGCAGGAGTAGAGGTCGACGTAGTAGCAGGAGCAGGAGTAGAGGTCGACGTAGTAGCAGGAGCAGGAGTAGAGGTCGACGTAGTAGCAGGAGCATAAGCCGGGGTCGGCGTTATAGTAGGAGCAAAAGTCAGGATCGACGTTACAGCAGGAGTAGAAGTGGTGATCGACGTAGTAATAGAAGCGGGAGCCATGGAAGACATGGAAGTAGTGGTGGCAGGCGGCGTAGTCGAGGAAGTGGCAGGCGGCGTAGTCGAGAAAGAAGTCAAAGTTATCTTTGGCGTAGTCGAGATCGAAGCAAGAGTAGAAGCAGTGAAAAAATTGGAAGGTTGGTTGTGTTATTTATTTACGATGGGTTCAACTGACTAGATATGGTGGTGAATTGTTGAGCTTTCAACAAACTTATTTACTGCAGTATGATATCGACTAATCCATTAAATTTAGTGGATTTGGATTCAGTTGAAAATTTGCAGTAATTTTTACAGGGAGAAGCATGATAAACGGAGCACGAGGCATGGGCATTCAAAACAAAGGGGGAGAAGTAGCCAGGAAAAAATGAAGGATACTATGAAGGTGATTTTGACCATAAACTAGCGAATAGTTGTTACAAAAAAATGAAAAAGAGAGCTGTTGGGAGTTCTTCTAAAAGGAATTGTTATAGGACCCACAAATATGGCAAATAATTGCTGAAATTCTGAACACTAAAATATCGGATTTCTTGAGTTAAAAAACGCTTTCATTATTATATTTTAAGGAGATAGAACTGATGAAATCGCGAATGCGTTCGGCTCTTGAATCTGCACAAGCGAAAATGGATGATGTCGTGGAAGCTAGAGGTCTGTTAAATGAATCACATTTAACTATGGATCTTACAGTTACGGAGACGGTAGCACGACATCGTGATATTGAACGTATCGAAGAGGAAGGTTTTCATCAGTCAACATTTATTTCTTCTTCTGGTGGAGCTGGTGGACGACTTAGAAAAGAGGTTCATTTAAATATTGAGTTTTATGTAAATTCTTTATACACAATGGACTTTTCAAATCTTTTTGAGGAAGTGACGTTTAAATGCTATCATTTATCATAGATTTTCATTCTTTTTTTATCGAATCATTTCACTTTTATATTTATATGTATGTATTTGTTTTTTACAAATGGCAAAGGAATTGGTATAATCCCAAAGTAGCATCATAAGAGGTAATAGGTAATACTCGGAACTTTCCGTCCAACTACCTTTAATCTGTCCTAGGCCAGGACATAGAAGGCCATATGCTTAATGAGTAAAATGGAGCAGCGAGTAGCGAGTTAAAAATTTCAAAAGGTAGAACGGAAACATCTGTACATCTTTTTATATAATTCTCTTAAACTGGTAATATTTCTACATATCATTGAAGCGTATTACTTTTATATATATATGATTCATTTATCTAAGAAGGAGGCTCACATACATCAACATTAGCTTTAGTTGATCCAGTGACTACGGTATTCGTAAATAATCCATGTTATGCAGCCGAAAAAATTATTGATTAATTCTTCAAATCATTTCAATTTTGTTCAGGATGCAACAGATCGTATAGCAATGGTAACGAAGAAGGAAGATGAACATGACAAAGCAATGTTTGGACCAAAATGGCGAGATGCCGAGAAAGGATACAGTGACGAGAAAAGGGAGACAGTCACAGATGTTGAAGTCGATAAGGAAACACCTCTTGCCAATGCACGAGTAAATTTCTTTTAATTGTAGAAAAAGATTGTTTTTCAGATTGCTTCCGGTATTCGGTTTCAAGTGTAATGCTGTAATATGTCTTTTTGGAGTCAACCATTTCTTTCTCGATCATTTCTGTCTCTGGATGCTTTTGTTAATTCAATTATTATAGCAAATTTAGTCATTAATTTGAACAGCTTTCTTTCAGTTTTCCGAAGATCCTGCTGTACGTGAAGAACGTTGGTTGAAGATATATCGCGAAAGACGGGCAAAGTTGTTGGGTCTTTGATGTGATCTCATTGTCTCTGTAATGTAAGGTAGACAGTGCTACTCTCATTAACAGAACAGGAAAGGATATTCGGGTAAAAATTGGTCACAATCAGAGTTCTTATGGTTGGTGCTGTTGAGGATGCGAAAAGCACAAATATTCGAAACAGTAATATTATTAGTACGGGAACTTACAGGATCATTTTATGCTTAATTAATCTTAATATCAGAAGCTAACTTCGTCTGCCGAGATCACTGTGAATATTCGGATATCACGAATTTGTTACTTCCAAATAAAAAATTAAGTCTGCAAAAGTCTTTGAAACAATCTGTAAAACATGGATCAAGATTTAGATTTCTTAGACTTTAGACGTAGACTTTTTTTTCAACAAAGGAAAAACATGATCATCTTAGTCTTTATTCCATTCTTATAGACTAAAAGAGCTAAAAATTTCAAAGTTCTAATTTCTGGTTTTCCACTTCTCAGGTTTTTGCCTTCTTTAATTTTTATTTAATGAAGTAATGCATGTCCTTTCCACATTTTTCGTAGACACGCGATCTTTGTTTTTAAATGTTGTAACAGACCGCTGGGCGTAAACGTACAGTAAACGTAATTTTTTTTATTTCATTCATATAACTTGCTGGTTGTGCTTTATGAACAAGATATGCTTTCGGCGAAGGTTTTGTTATAACGGTTGTTTTTGTTTATATTTCATAGATGTTTACAATTATTTTGTATTTATTGTGATACTTTTGCGACCTTAAAACTATCGCTAATATTCAGAATAGATAGGATTGGTATCTCATTCAAATATATCAATGCATTTTCACATTTTCATGGTTAGCTCTAATCGTTGAGTGGTTACATTTTTCAACAATTGCAATGGTTGGTAAAGGGTTGATAGATGATTTTGGTCGGCTCATTTTCTTGTTGTGTGTTAACGAACGGAAAACTGGTTACGTTTAAATGATGCCTCTTGATATATCACTAGTGCGCAAGGCACAGTTTTCTAGCTTCCTACTTGTTTCTTTTCTGTTCCTTTTGTCATATCCATTTTATCACATATATCCATCCTCATGAGTAGTTTTTTTTTTTTTTTTCAATTTACATATCAGTCAATCTCTCAACTATCTCTTTGAACATTCTTGGACTCAAAATTGCTTTTGCTCGCCATTCCAAGAAATTTCACTGATGAATTATTATAAAAAAAAAAAAAAAGAAAAAAAGTTTTAATGCCACAGGGTTCAGACATGTTTCGAAAACGATCAGTTCGAGAAAGAACAGAATTAAGTTGCATGGTAAGCTAGCATATCAAGGAATCTCTTGTAATCATATTTATATCAACTTCTGAAGAGAGGCTCTCATTTTGGATTTCATGAAACAAGTAAGATATACTGATTAACTGCACAGAAATGGAAGCAGTAATCGTTAAAATTAGTTGACAGATTTTTGAGGAACTATTTTCTTTTTATGAATTCTTTTATAAATATATTTTTGAAAAATAACGAAAAAAGAAACATTGCTTTAAACATTTGTCATTATTTTTGTAATTTTCATTGAAGTAAGGAAAGGCTGGATGGAATAATATTATCGGTGAAGTAATAATATACGTATATGTGTGTGCAATTTAAAGTATAAACCTTCAGTTATTGTTCACTGCTATTCTCTAACGGAAACTTAAAACTGTAGAAAGAATTTGATGAAAGAGAGAAATCGATATTTAATTTTAAAGCATATACATTTGATATTTCATTCCCTTTTGTATACAATGAATTTCAAAAATTTAAGTCATTTTGTAAACAAATCGAAAATTTTCATAACTATTTGTGATGATCATCTTGAAACGAATGATTTCTACTGTATACTTGACAAGCTTGTTTATTTGCATATTATGTATTATAGTGATGATAATGTTTTTTAGAAATTATTCTTCAAAGTCATGCCCATCTTTAGCATTATCAAATTTTTTTGTCAGGCCTCGTTAAATTTCCCCCTACCAATCATAAACACCAAAAGAATTTGATTTCTGAAAATAATTTTCTAATAAAATTAGAAAGTCTAAAAATTTTGTGGAAATCATCCGCAAACTTCTATATGGTTTCAAATTTAAAGAATTGAAATGATTTTCTTAATTTTTAAAATCTCAATTTTATTCATTGAAATTTATTTACGTGTAACATTTTGAAGTTACATGTGTTAATTCATCTGGAAATTAATAGTCAAGACATTCAGTCATATACAAATGTGATATTGTTAATGTTACATTTCCATTACATCGTTTCAGGAAGTTATCATTAGGTCAAATTGTTACCATTATATGTTCCTTCCCAAACTCCTATTGATTAAATTAATTCTTCTAATTTTTTGATATTGATAGGCTATCAATAAGATATGATCAGAAATTAGAAAAGGCGGATAATGTCACCTTTTTTTTTTTCAACTGGAAGAACTTTTTTGATATGCCAATTGCTTATTGGCACTTTTATGATAACTATTAGTGTATGGTGTGGGTATTTTAATTTGAATTTAAGCTCATTGTTGGGAAATGAATGATAATTCAATGGAGCATAGATTGGTGATGAGATTGTTAAACAGGTTTGACTATTTGGTAGTTGTAATACAGTTATAGTTTAGTATAATAGCAATCTCTGTGTAAATGAGAATTCATAAAATCAAGAAAAATATCAAATGCTTCAATGGATGCATTACTCTTAAATTACATTTGTTAACTGTTTGTATTATAAGCATATATTTAATAAATAATTTTTATTGATAAATATGGATGATATAGTCTCTCTTCTCATCCTTTCTTCTGCTAACTTAATTATAATGATCGTTATGAATCATAATAATTGTGAAACAAAAAATTCTTTCTTTTTTTAGTTTTATTTTAAAATTAAATTGAAATTTGAAATTCTACAATGAAACTTGCCATCAGAGAGATTCTCATTTCAAAATTTCAAATAAATATCGATGTAAGCGATATATACGCAAGTGTGAATAGCGATCGATCGATCGATCGAGTAAAGCTTATAATCTACCCATCGACAATATTCAATTTGGCAAATAAACATTGAAAATGTAAATTTCTGAGTCGATACAAGACGAATGAATGGTGTGATTGCGGGAATTTCGTGGACGATATGATGATTTGTAGAAAGTAGGATTATCTCTTTCGCACGATCGAAAACATGAATTGTTTTGCAATTCACATATTCAAGTAAAGTTAGATGACTTTTTTTTTCGAATCAGATTTTCTTTTTTTCAAGTCACAATTCAGAATTAAAAGAGAGAGAGAGAGAAAGAAAGAAAGAAAAGGAAGGAGGGAAAGGGGAAAAAAAGGTTGAATTTGCATTATTAGATTTCTGTTCTTCCTGAATGTCAACAAGTTGGCAAATATCCACTAATCAACTTTTCCTATTATTCTTCCAGATATCTGAATTACTTATACATTCATTTACATATCATTACGCTATAATTATTTCTTATTAAAATATCAAAATTACATTTTTTTTGTTGCATCAACCATTAAACGAATGCAATTTGATTAATGTACATTAATGTTGAATTATAATTAATTTATAATCTGTTGTGTTAATTAGAATTAAAGACAGCTAATGAAACCTTTCATAGTCTATTTCACTAATAGAAAGACAACTACTACAAATGAGTTACGATTGAGTGGGTGGGTATATGTATTACATGGATATGAGAAACACTAATACGTTAGAATTAATTACATCCGCTCTAAAAAGATACAAACATCATTTGTTAGTTGGACCAAACTGATTGAAGAATTACCGTCCCATCTAATGTCATTCCATTTTGCTAGCAAACTTTAACAATGCGACACTTTGACAGCAATGTCAATTTATTTACTTGTTATTTGTTTACTTGCTATTTGTTGATAAACACTGAACACACTTTTCTCTCTCCCAATTTTAGACAAACATTCATATTCGAGAAATTGGTTGTTAGTTGTTTGGATTAATCACCAAAGTGTAGCGTTTTATTTGGAAGAAGAAAAATATCAAATAAGTTTTACAATTGTCGATGTGACAAGTTTAACCAATCATTTCAAATGCGTATGACAATCAATCTCAACTCCTATTCATCATCATTTAGTTAAACTGATTATTGATTATTGAAATGATAACGATGCGACAGAACTCATTGTGTTTTCTGTTTGAATATAAAAGAATCCACTAGAGTTTTTGCTCCACTTTACATTATTCAATGGATATTCAACATATATGACACTTGATATTAAATTCAGGAATGAATCACTGAAAAATTGCTATTAGTTCTATTGTGATTTTTGATCATCGATAAGCTTATCAAAATCAAAAATCAATAATACCAATAGCAATTTTTGAATGACTCATTTCTTCCACCCAATACTATTATTTGAAATATCGAAATTCAAATTTAGAGTAAAAATTTGGGATAGAATTCACAAATTTCGCTTAATTTTTATTTTACTATTAGCTTCATTTTTACAATATGTAAATATTTACAATTTATAAAACGTTTTATTATGTTAAACATCGTTATTTTTAACAAAAAAGAAAAAGAAATGTCATAACTGCAGATGTTATTGGATGAGATGAAGAAGACAACGATTACGACAACTCCTGCTGTAACTCAGAAAAGTATGATAGAGGAACTATTCGAGATTCCTATGACTCATCATTTATTACCAATCTGTCTTATGGCTCTTGTCCTACTTGCTTTATTATTAGCATGTCTTTATGATTGCAAAGTTAATAGGGATTGTTGCAGGTAAATTTTGTCATTTTATCTGTTTATTTTCCTTATCTGTAATGGTTATGTTGAATAGATATTTTACGATATGACCTTCACCTTTAACGTAAGTTAACGAAACTAAGACGCATTTGCAGATTGTTCTAATTTGTTTTTACTTTTTTTTTTTCAATTTTGATGATTAAATGTTACAGTTATTCGAATTCCCTTATAACTCATCGCTCATTATCTATTACTTTTATTATTTTACTTAATTGTTATTATACCTTCATGATTAAGCATAATGTCTAAGGTGACACGTGACACAGTACGACAAAATAAATTACACATTTTTTTTCTTTTTTTAGTTCCACTAGTGATAACATTTTCTCCATTAGCTGATAGCATCCTTAAGTGTTCTTCTCATTACTATAATACATATTTATCAATTTGCTTCTGTCAAACTTTATCTGCGCAGTAAATGCTGCTACTTTCAAATTTTAACTAAGCAATAATCAATTTAACAGATTAATGTTTTAAGGTAAGAATTTGCTTTCATTACCCGCAAGAACTGAAGAATGAACAGTGGAAAGGTTTCTGCAAAGCAAAATTGAATTAAATAAAACTCAAAAAGTATATTCTCGTGGTTCCATTCGAATAGTGCAACAACCTGCCTAGGACTGGCACTGTTAGGTAAACCTTCAATAATGTTTCTTCATAATTTTATTCCAGGAAACGTTCCGGATCAGGACCACCATGGGTTCCCAAAACCGGTATATATTTATATGATGGTGAAACGGGTGAGACGAGGGTATCTGGTGGCGAATAAATGCAATGAATAAAAACCTTCCCCAGAACTTTCTCCCGCATTATTATTGCATTGTAACACCTGCTTTGAATTGAAAACTCCCAATAATTTTACTTTTCCATTTCTTCCATTTAATGTATTGATGTGCTGTATTAAAGTGACCACCATTTAATTATTCAAACACTCAAGGACCCATAGCATGACAACTTCATTTATAACTTCATACACAATGTTTATTACCAAGTTTTCAAAATTCGATCAGTCAACTGTCTGAGCCTTTCAAGTGTCACAAGAAGATAGGAAGATTATTTCGAACTCTACAAGCTGCCCTTACTTTTCAAATTTTTGGGAAAATAATCTGGGAAGGGAAATGATGAAAAAAAGCGAAGATCTGAATAGTTTACCATTTCTTATTGTTCTGCGGACGATGCTTAAAGCAAGAAAAACAAGCATTACTAAGCAATGATGAAAAACAGTTGGCTGGATTGTATATACAAACTTGTTCATTGCAGATTAATGGACGAATTTCTGAATTCAATTTACAATTTCTCAAATTCCTAACTTCAAAATTCGTATACGGTATTCTGATAACTAAAATCAAGCCACAATAATCGCAGAGTGCAATATCATTGCAATGATAGAATTCAAGATGCTGCGAAAACAAACGAGTATAATTAAAGCTTAAACTAAACCATAACATTGTCAATCAACAGAGAAGAGATCGTTCATAATCAATGACTTGTTGAACAAACTGAAAAGCCACACAAAAGTTAAAGCAAGCAGTGAGGCATGACTTCAAAATTCGCCAGAGAGAATTCCATCTGACAGACCTACAAGGAAACCGCAGTTCAATGATAGACAAACAACGATTCTAGCTTGAAGCGAAATTCCCTAGCCAATTAACAATATCACAATCACCTTATGATCAACAAGACATAGCATTTTCATTTTATGCGCATTTTTTTGAAACAATCGATTTTCCCTCGTCATCATATTCTGCTCGGCTGATCCACATTTGTTGAAAGGCACCCTTAATTTTTTGTTATATTTTGTTAACAAGGAATAAGATGACACATTTATAATAGACTGAACAATAATAACTTACAAGAGAAGCTAAAATCGACCCGCCAATCCATGATCCAAATCGTCGTTCCATTGGTGTTGGCGCTGCGTAAACTCGTAATTTTATTGTCTAAAAAACTTTAAAATAATACATATTAAAAAAGTATGCAAATAATAAGAATACGCTGCAATATACCAACCGGTGGGCACTTATGAGCGAGATCATGATTAAGCCTTTCAGTAAATCCCATCAACAAGGAGTTACCTCCAGTCACCATCAAACCGCTGTACATTGTCTGCAAAAAAATTTTTTTTTGGCGTAACTTTATACATATGAACGAATATAACTATGCTCCATATATCTCAAAATCGCCTTTACCCCTGAAGCTCTTCAAATAACTAACCGGTCGTATGTCAATGTCACACATTCCACAAGCAGTAGCAGCAATCTGCGAGACTGACATTGTTGAGGAAGTATTTACTGACTGAAAACATTGTCATTCACTGTAATCAACCTAGCACATACAACTGACTGCAGGAATCGAAAAGTGATAAACTTCATTACTATTTTAGGCGTCATCAGATAATATTTGCGAAAGTCCACCTTCAAATAAGTTGTGTCAAACAAGCCCTCCGGAATTTTGATTCTTTCCGCTTGAAATTCTTTGCTATACCCGTTTGGAAAGCAAAACGGTGATGATGGTAGCTTTTCCGCAAACCTGAAGTACATAGTCTAGCAAAGTGTGCCGGATGCTCTGGAGTCAAACATGAATGCAAACTCGACCAAAAGGTTACGATAAGCTCTTAAACTACCTTTACATGCAATGCTTCTGAAAAAACTATCGTGAAAGTGTGATAGCGCACCATAAAAATGAATTGGGATCCAAAGAACAGTGATTTATAAATAAAAGTCATTCTACTAATCGGTGAATCATTCTACTATTCACTTATCAAAAAAAAATCAACTTCATTGAAAACTTACTCAACGTCTATAGGAGTATCGCAACACTGTAATACCGAAGCAGCAAGATCTTCAAGAATTTGCTGGAAAATGACAAACTTCATTTCATTTCAATGACCTAAAGAGAAAATTACTGACCCATTCACCATCCCAGTAACAATTAATTACAAACCTTTTCCATATACGTTTCATAGCTCTTCGTAACCTCAGGCAAATTCTTCTTCTCAGTCCATACAGGCGGTTCCATTTCATTGACCACCTCCTAAAACGATGATCTAATTAATAAATTAGTTGAAATACTAATGATAGGACATGTGGGATGTTTATTCGCAAGGTGCTATTCAATCTGTAGAAAAGGTACCTTTGATGCAATTTTATAAGAAGGGACCAGATCAATCTTTTGCTCTTCAAGCATCAAACGGCACTGTTCTGCAATCATATCGCCACCCACCGGCTGTTTTACCACTGCTGAAAATATATTTGTTCTTTCCCTAAACGACACAAGAAATTTCAAAAACCACTTATCCATACTTGACGAACAAGTACTGTCTGATTTGAACCTGACAATTTTTATATTCAAAATGCAAATTTGATGAATACTTCAGCAACAAAAACTTGATGATCTATCAAAAAAATTTACATATAAAAAAATATTACCATGTGTTATGCAGTATCCATCAAATACGGGAACAGCCGACGTTTGTGTAGCACCACTGTCCAGAATTAATCCAGCTGTTCGACCATTTGCATAACTGAAGTAACGCACTTATAATAAGAAGCAAACATCATCAGTTAAGAATATTTTCCATCCATTCAAAAAAAAGAAAAATAGAATTTAAAGTATGAAGCACAAATTTACCACGAAAGAACAGCATTCTTGACAACGTAAAACGTGGGAACGTTATATTTTTCGAACATCAATTCCGTCAGTTTCTCACGATTTGCTTTTGTATTCCACTAAAATTAACTTAGTTAAAGCATAAAATTAATCTGCAGGAAAGCACTGCAATGCTACAGGTTAAGAGGGAATTTGGGTCACAGATTTGTCAACAGCGCAATACAACTGGTGAAAAAGAAACACCAACAAGTAACATCTGATAATGTGGAAATACCAAAATGATGAGAAACTGAACTTACTGCAGCTTCGGAAAATAATACCGGCTGATACTGGCTCTCGGAAAATAAAACGCGACTATATGAATAATCCACCAATTGCTCGAAAATATCCCAATCATCAACTAAAACATGCAATAAAATACGATATTGCATGAGAAAAAAAAAAGGGAACATACTCATGCAATCTTTCATGTAACTTTTAATCTCTGTTCTTGGTCGCGGAACATTTACGAATGTCCGCCCAATAAAATATTCCTTCATTTTTGCTTTTTGAGCATTTTGGTCCACAGTGTCATCCATTTCATCCAGGACTTCACGTACACCAACTTGACTTGGTATGTCACCCTGCGAAATAATATAAAATTATACTTCTACAAAAAACTTTTAACCTTAACAAAAATGACATAGTTTACTCCGTGAAAATGACATAATACGCTAGGGATTAAAGCAACTATCCATAATTTATTATGTCAATTAATGAAACTTATTTCGAAAATATAACAGTAAATGATTTATCAAGATTATCCCTAATATTTACTATCCTATCGTGACTTAACTTCGAAAGGCTTCGGTTACTCAGTTTAATGCCTTATAAACCTCCAGTATCATATTCCACAGAAATCCAAGACGTTAACCTCTATTAATCATTAAAACTTTGGTTTTTACTGATTCCTTCCTTAATCGAAATATCACCCCGCTTATATTAACAAATCTTAGAAGTGAAAGTAGCGCATCATTTAATATTGCTTCACTCAATTCACGAAAAACTTACTTTCGGAAATTCTTCACCAGCAAAGCCAACCCGAAATGTGTGTGAACCCGGATCGAAAACCAAAGCACCAACTTCATCTGAATAAGCATAAACAATACAGGAACTGATTCGACCAGCTGACCTTTGACATATGTCCCAAACAAAAATTACTAAGTGCTGCATCGACGCAGCTATTACTAATACATATATTACTCCATAACAAAGAAAAACGTGAACTTACCACCACCATAAACTCCTCCACTCATGATTACACGTAACTTCCGACAATCTGCAATAAGTACGTCCTTAAACGACAACTAACCAATTACGATAGTAACAACGATGCAAGAGCCAAGGTTCTAGACCTTAAGCCCATCCTCATCTAGCCGTGCTAGACCTCATACCAACCCGATGTATCAAAATTTCATTCTTGGACGAAGTTCAGTTTGCTGTCGTGATACGTCACGTTTGACACGTCACCATGAAACGACGATATCTGCATGATTAATGTGCTGTTAGGGTATATCGATTGTTCATCCCCACTTCCCCTCAGATACGGATCGGATAATGTTTGTTCCTTTTCGGAATACAATCTCTCCGGTCGTATTTGGTTATTTGGTTTCATCGCGATGTGACGAGTGAAACGATATGATGTCTCGAAAAATCAAGCAAATCGAGGCTTGTGATCAATGAGAATCATGTCATGTACCACGCTCTGGTATCAAAACCGCCTTATCTGTGATCCATCACGAGCCCATTCTTGCAAAGATTTTTTTTGTCTCGATTACTAATTCCGTTATCGGCAAAACTATCCTCGTTTAACTTTTATTTCCTCACGAAACTATTTGTACAGCTGATATTTATAGGTTGTTTTTCAGGAAAGCTTAAGTATTCTCTATTGATGGCTCTTCATCACTCATGAAACTTGAGGTTTTGTGGTGACATTGGAGGGCAATTTTAAGTCTTGGCATTCCAGTGCATCCATTTGGAAATTTGTTTTATCGTATAGGAAATGGCAGCAGAAGATAGCGAAGAACATGCGAATTTCATCAATAGTTTCAAGGTTCGTAATATGTTAAAGGTTTGGAGAGAGGAAGAGAGAGAAAGCTGTAGAGAAGGATTAATTTTTAATAGGCGTCATGATGGTTTAACTTTTTGCTAGAATGATCTTATACATCTATGAAATGAATTTTGGAGTGACAGATCGGGAATAGCTGCACTGCATTGCATTTCGCTGTATCTCCATCGGCACTTCTGGTCGTTTCATTAAATTGGCAGTTCTGGAATTGCATTTCATGAAATTGATAGCAGTTTTAGAGTACCGCATCTTTTTTGGTGAAGTTTAGGCTTGGAGAAATGGGTTGAAAATTGCTTTGGTTTATTTCACGTTTTTTATTTGTGTTTCAAGTTAAATTTGTCACTTAGGCTATTTCAACATTTAGCATGTCCTTTTTGATATATCCGTAAAGCGGAAGGCAGGTTATTCTGATTTAGATGTAGAGGAGCTTGAGAGGTTATGTTTGTTTAGATGTGAAAAAGTAAGTAATGTTGATATAGATGCC